ACACACAATAATGTCATCAAAGCATATTTTTAAAAGGGGCTCTGCAAACATGGCCACTAACTTTTCATTCTGATGATCTGCAGAATAATTTGGGCAGCAAAGAAAATTTCACTGTCCAAAAACTTGCAGGCTTCACTATAGACTGTGCAGTCAGTTTGTGGGATATTTGAATAAATGCAGAGCAAACTGTGGTTGTTTGTATTTACTTACACAAAATGAGATAAAACAAAATAAAATGACCATTTCATCTGGTGCTATTGACATTTTCAGGCCATTTGTATGACCTCAGATGCCGTCTCGCAATCCAGTTCTTTGTTTTGTCTAAAAACAAAAACCAAATCAAAAATTGATGAACTAGTTAATCATTTTAGTTATACTTATATCCACACCTGGGTGACTAATTTGTATGTTTTATATATAAAACTCCAAAAGTAACATAAAGAGAATCCAAACACTCGAGTAAAGCAGGCGACCTGTGAGTTGTAAGCTACCTAACCCTAAGTACAGTATAGAGTAAATGTACTTAGTTACATTCAACCACGGAAAAGCAACATTTCCAGCTTACTAAGTTTTTCTGATTTAAGACAAATCAAATAAATTGAGTTGAACAGCTTTTTGAATGAATAGTACTGGTAACTTACTTCAGTCTACTTAATATTTGTTAATTAAGTACAATATTAGATTTTACAGTGTACAATAATATTGAGAAAAACCCAACAATCATATGACCCCCTATGAGCAGCACTTTGGTGACAGTGGGAAGGAAAAACTCCCTTTTAACAGGAAGAAACCTCCAGCAGAACCAGACTCAGGGAGGGGCGGCCATCTGCTGCGACCCAGCAGCCTACGTCTATTGCAGCATAACTAAGGGAGGATTCAGGGTCACCTGGTCCAGCCCTAACTATATACTTTAGCAAAAAGGAAAGTTTGAAGCCTAATCTTGAAAGTAGAGATAGTGTCTGTCTCCTGAATCCAAACTGGAAGCTGGTTCCACAGAAGAGGGGCCTGGAGACGGGTTAATGTAGGAGGCAGGGAACCATGTTCCAGAGAGGAGGCAGTTATTATTAAATATTTAAAAAATAATAATTAAAAAAAAAAACTCAATAGGAAACCCATCAGGGCCTGGAGCCTCATGACTTTCCATGGATTTAATTCAAAGGAAAATGTGCTCTAGACTGAGAGGTGCATCAAGCCTATGAAGGATATGAAGATTTTGAAGGAAAGTCATTCTGACAATGATTTAGACTGATAAAGAGAAGAGTAAACATGTCTACAAATATTTTAATAGCTACTGGTTTAAAAACGAGATTGCCAGAGGAATCAATACTTTGAAAAATTAATCGAGACTGAGGTTTCAGTTGGTGCACTTTTAGCTTGGTTTCTCACCATAATCACAATAATAAACAGCACAGGAAGGTGATATCACACCATCGAGCAGCTCTGACTGAAGGTTTTATCGTTGTTCCATTGACCTCTCTGATGGCTTTTTTGACATTTCTTGAATCAACATCGTGAATTTGAGTTTAAAATTAACTGAGTTTGTTTTTGTGTCACGATGAACCGAGAAAGAAAGGATTCCAAGATAAACTTTGACAGATTCCCGTGATAATGAATAAGAAACTGTTACGGATTAAAAAAAATCAATTGGATTAAAGCAGTGAAGGGATTAAATTGACGATCCGAAAGATCAAGTGGATTGAATCTCCGTGGTAACGAGTTTAATTATCCCACGGGATATTATTGATCAATCTGTGATTTGCTGTGAATGTTTAATTAAAACATCTGACTGATTGCAGGGTGTTTGCCTAAATCGACCGCGATCATTAAAAACTGATCAATACTGCCCAGAGTACTGCTCGGTGATCTTTCGGTTATGGGTCAGCTGTGCAGAATATTGATCAGTGATCAGGGCTGTTCCGGATGTCCTGTGATGGCAGCTCTCTCTCTCTCTCTCTTTCTCACACACACACAGACACACCGAGCCGCCTGCACGCTCCTCTCTGATCGCTCTCTTTGGTTTGTATCAGCTGATCGGAGCGGGTTCGGCTCTGGGTCCGGCTCCGGGACGGGATCCCTGTACGGTTCCGATCTAATCCGGCTTCGTCTGGTTTGGGCTCTTTGTTCCGGAACTTTTCGGACTCTTCGGTGAGCTGTTAGCCGTTAGCCTCTCCTAGCTGCAGCGGATCGATTCTTTCCTCGGAACCTTCCACAGCACAGTTCCTGTTTCAACCCGAACCGTTCCTCGGCTGCCCGGCCCGGACTCTCGCTCTGCTCCGGGCCGACAGGCGGCTCGGTTCGGTTATTGGAGCGGCTGAGCTATCAAGCTAACAGTTAGCCTGAGCTAGCTGCTAGTATGCCCGCGATGCTGGAGAGGAACCCAGAGGCTTCGGGCAAGAGGAGAGGCCGAGCCCCGGGAGGAGGGCCCGTCGGCGGGAAGAGTCTGTCCGGTAATGGAACCAGTACCAACAGCTGCTGGGAAGAAGGAAGTTCAGGCTCGAGCAGCGACGACGAGCATGGTGGGTAGCCTCGATCATCGCCGCCGCTGCTGAGACTAATCTGAGTACTGTACTGAGTACTGTGTGTGTGTGCGCGCAGGTGGAGGAGGGATGCGGGTCGGACCGCAGTACCAGGCCGTGGTTCCCGACTTTGACCCGGGTAAGATTGCAGCTGGCTCGGGAGCCTCGCAGCGGAGTAGTAGCCTCGAACAATACCAGCTGTAAAGTTCGCGGCGCTGGTTCCGGTCCCCGCGTGCCGGTTCCACCTCCACATGTGTGTGTCCGGCTCTGGTTCTGGGTTCGTTTGTGTTTCAGGAGCTTTTGTTTCCTTAGCAGAAGCAGCTCGAGGCTCCTCCTCACAGTCAGAACATTCAACTTTAGTCACAAACTTCACACACCGACAATATTGAATAATCAGATAACAGTCATCAATAATCGCTGCAGAATCTGACCAGATTCCTGAAAACTGGTCAGAGTAACAGCTCTGAGTTAAACTTCATGTTGATCCTCACAGTGATGCTGAGTCTGAACCCTTCTTCACACAACCACCTGAAAAGTCGTACAGGTGAGCAGAAGGAGCTGCTCCATTTTCAAAATTAGTTTATTGATCAACTTCTGATCAGCTCCAGCGTTCTACCAGCACCGTTACAGCATTAATCCCTCATCGAGTTATTGAACATGAGTCTCTGATGTGAGAACCATTCTAATTAATTAATAATCTCATTAACGTGTGTGTGTGATTCCAGATGTAGCCCGGGCGGCTCATCTCCGGGAGAACCTGGGGATGTTGGTTTGGATCCCCAACAGCTGCCTGAACCAAACACAGTGTAAGAAATGGCTCATTGACCTGAGAACATGGCGCACTGATGCGAGTCTGATGGCGTTTTGTGGGTGTTTTCTTTTGTTTAGTTTTTTTTCTCTGTTGCAGTGGACGAGTACATCGCCATCGCCAAAGAGAAGCATGGCTACAACATGGAGCAGGTAATTGTTCACAACTTGGTCACTTTTTTATTTTAAATATTTAGACATTGGTTCACGCTGCCATCCTCAGTCAGTAACAGGTGTACTTATGAACAGTGTTATTTTGGAGGTTCAGTCGCTGCTAATCGTGTGGTGCTGCCCCTTTCTCTCTCCTGTTTGGCTTCCTTCTCCACGTTGGACTGCAGCTGGTGAGGGGCTTGGAGAAAAAAACATAAATTACATCTTTAACAGGGCGCCTGCTTTAGCAGCGAACATGTGACTATCTGAGCATGTGCACAAACAGATGTCACACTCAGTGACCCGAGTGTCGGATCTGCTTTTTCTTTGTTGATTCAAAGTGCTCTGCAGAACTTCACGTTCAGGATGGTAAAATAAAATTCAAGTTCTCTCAGGAATATCAGACAGGTGGACCTGAAGTTCCTCTCCCTGTGTTTTTAAACTCACTGCCTTCACGCCACCATCACATGTTCAGCTGTTAGAGGGCCTGAACACACAGGAAGTGCTCAGCGTTTGCAGGGACCGTACAGATCATCACGCCAAATGTCCTTCAGTATTTACAATGTCCACATTTTACCTGTCTCACCTGTCACAGGCGCTGGGCATGCTCTTCTGGCACAAACACAACATCGAGAAGTCTCTAGCCGACCTGCCAAACTTCACTCCGTTCCCCGATGAGTGGACGGTGGAGGACCGCGTGTTGTTCGAGCAGGCCTTCAGCTTCCACGGGAAGAGCTTCCACCGCATTCAGCAGATGGTACCAGTGTTCCCAGTCCTAGTCTCTTTCTGTGACCAGTGCTCCCAGTCCTAGTCTCCCTCTTTGACCAGTGCT